AAGAAGATTTTGACTACAGTGTTGAGGATTATTCAAGGAAGAGAAGATGAGAAATTCTGTTTTTCTCTTGTTTAATTTCAACTTATTGAGGGTCATCCAAGAATCGATTTCAGATAAACAATCATTGATGTGCTTCATAGTTTCTTTAAAAGACAGGTCATCATTACAGGAGAAAGGGATGTAAATTTGTGAATCATCAGCATACAGGTGGAAAGACATCTTGTGCTTTCGAAGGATATCAGCAACCGGAGACGTATACAGAATATAAAGAAGAGGACCAAGCACAGAGCCTTGAGGAACACCACAATTAAGAGGAAGAGAATTGGAGGATACACCATCAACAGAAACAAATTGGTAGCGGTCGGACAGGTAAGATTTAAACCATTGGAGAGCAGAACCACAGATGCCAAATTTGGAGCGAAGACGTTGTAGGAGAATAGTGTGGTCGACGGTGTCAAAGGCGGCAGACAAATCAAGCAACAACATAGCAACACAGTTACGTTTATCCAGGGACTGAAGAATGTCATTACAAACACGAAGAAGAGCAGACTCACAACTGTGATTACGTTTATATCCAGATTGAAATGGTTCGTGAAGGGAGTTAGCTGACAAGTAGTTGTCGAGTTGCACTGCAACAGCTTTCTCTATTACCTTAGAGACCATTTTTAAATTTGAAATAGGGCGATAGTTGGCAAGAATTTCTTTATTTAGGGAAGGTTTTTTTAACAGGCTACGAAGAACTGCAGTTTTAAAACAAAACGGAACAGTACCAGATAAGAGCGATTGATTGACAATGTTACAGATTACGGGCAACAACAAACAAAGATTATGACGTAATAGGTCAGCAGGAATGGGATCGAGGCTACACGACTTGGACAACAGCTTCTTACAGTGTCTTCCCATAGTTTCGGATATTTTGCGATGCAAATCCAGAGGATCCAGCATCATTGTGGTTCTTTCTCCACTTCGATCTTTGATGGAAGATCATGTGCTATATCTAAATAATATTGGGATTCCAGCAATTGCCATCGGTGACGAGGAAGATGCTGAAATCATCCAGCAGATCGTAAATGGCAACTATGTCGTGTTGTTTGGTTCCCCAGAGTGCTTTCTGTCTACKACAACATGGAGAGGAATTTTCTGCACGCCAAGCTTCAGGGATATGATGATCGGCGTCGTAATAGATGAAGCTCACTGCATCGTTCAATGGTATGTTGACAAATTTAAAACTTTTTATCTCTTTTTCGTTTTGGTAGATTTTCAAATTTAGTATAGAGCATTTCTAGCTAGGTTGATATTCACTCTAAATTATCCTTGTGATTGAAAATTAGAGGGTAAAACCTTTGCAAACGGATTTTTGCCTTTTTTAAATTTGTAATTTTTGAGCTGGAATTAATAAGGAACGTGGGAGAAACTAAAATTGTTAGGTCCACCAAAACGCTGTGAAATATTAATTTTTAAAATCATCCAAAATCCCATACAATTTATGCAAAGATGCAAAGCCATAATTGATAGCTAGACAACCAGATCAAGCGAAGATGAACGGATTGATCGATATATAGAAAGACAGACTGATAATCTAACATAAAATAAAATAGAAAACCCATGCAAGAAATACTGTCTACAGTTACATAGTAGTGTTATGCAACAACATAAATGTAGTAGAAACATAAACATGCACATTGATATAGCATGCTATGTTTGAGGTAGTTCATTCAGGATATAATATTTTCATTATTCTATAATTTTTAAAATTGGACATACACCTACTTGCAAGAACGTTGACATACGAAAATAGAACATTAGTGGTTTAGTGGGATAGGAATTATATTAAAGACCCATTGCCACTTACCGTGATGCATCACAATTTATTTACATTTTGAATCGTGTCACCACTGAAAAAACAATTTTAACCTTTTGAATAAACTCTTAAAAGAATGTAAAAGAATCAATTTGTGCCTTAGTGCTATGTCAGAAAAGGATCTAATATGAAGTTATTATTCAATATATGAATCTTTGAATTTCATGGACCACGAAATTCATCTGTGACCGCGGTGCATCATGGTAAGTGGCAATGGGTCTTTAAAGAACAAAAGAAGATGACTGAAGCTGAACTTTTTTTTTGTCTTTTTAATGTATTCCTTTCTCACTAAATTACTAATGTTCTAATATCGTATGGCAACGTTCTTGCAAGTAGGTGTATGTCTTAATTACTGTTTTGTTCTTTGTGTTATTACAGGGGGCTAACAGGTACCAAGAAGGTCCCATTCAGGAAGTGGTATGGTTGCTTAGGAGAATTACATTCTTTGATTCCCAAAGATACTAAATCAGTGATCCTAACAGCAACTGCCACCAAGGCAACCAAGGAACAAATAATGGAAACCCTGAACCTGTCACCAAAGGATGTGCAAATGATCCAGCAGAGTCCTGACAGGCCAAATTTATTTTATTCTACACAATATGTAGATAAAAATGAGCCATTGGAGATTGTGTTTGGGCGGCTTATTAATGAAGTTGATGATATGGGTGCAAACATGCCAAGAACATTAATATACTGTCAAACACGAAAGCAGTGTTCAGTTCTGTACCGAATGTTTGAAGTTTTTTTGGRTCTGAAGATGTACAGTGGTGGAGTAACCAATCCACAAAAAAGACTGGTTGAAATGTTTCATGCTGGCACCCCTAAAAGAGTTAAGGAACACATAATCGAAAATATGGCAAAGGATGATGGACATTTACGAGTTGTCATTTGTACTGTTGCCTTCGGCATGGGTATCAATTGCAGGAAGGTTAGACAGATTGTGCATTTTGGACCATCGAAGACAGTGGAACAGTATGTTCAAGAGTGTGGGCGTGCTGGACGGGATGGACTTCCAAGCTCTTGCATCCTGCTGTTCAATGGACTACTGTCAGCCCACTGTGATAGGGATATGAAGGCTTATGTCCAACAAGAAGGATGCTCGCGTATATGGTTAATGAGCCATTTTGAAAGTAAAGTGGCAAGTAACAGTTTACTTCACMAATGCTGTGGACAATGTGCAATGAAATGCAGGTGTAGTGACAAGGATTGCAGGGTGCTTTGGAGTCCCAATTTGAATGGAGATACAACAAAAAAGTCACCAGTCCAGAAATTAATGACCACCATCAATGCACATGCTCATCATGAAAGRGCCAAATTTACAAGAGTTGTCAGTGAACAACAAAGGGAGAAACTGAGATTGGAACTTCATTGCTTCCAGCRAGAAATGATGAAGGAGGTACAAGTGGATACTATGGTGACATGTCCCAATGTACTCATGGAGTTTAATTCTTTCCATATTAATCAAGTGATTGAACACTGCAGCATTCTTTTTACCATCCAAGATGTTGTAGAGTTGGTAGAAATATGGAGAATGAAATATGCCACTGCCATTCTCACAGCTTTAGACAAAGTCTTCAGTGATATAGATGCTGCTGAAATACAAATGGATGTGTTTCCACCTGAAATGTCAAATTATTCTGACTGGAGTCAAGTCAGGGATGACACTACACTGGTAGGGATGTTGAACAGCCAAGATTTAGAGGATCTAAGTTCTTTTAACACATGTATGGACACAGCAGACAGTAGTTTTTTAGATAGTACTTCTTATCAGAGTTTGAGTACTGCTTAGAGCTTTTATCCATAAGTTAAATCTCTCTTACCCATTTCTTTTTTTCATTTGAAAAAAAGCAAAGTTTATCACATTGTCCTGGTTTTGAGATATTTTCCTCATAAGGACAGTCCCCTCTCTAAATGTGCATATATTATGCAATAAAATGAACATTTGCAAAAGCTAAGTTTAGATTTGAGTAGCATGTGAAATAGCTTTTTAACCCTGGATTCATCAAAAACTACAAAAAGGTAAAAGCTTTGGAATACACGTAGTTAAACATTGAGTGACATCACTATTTCTAAAACATTTCTTTAAGAAACAGATTTCAGAAATAAAGTCATTTATCTTAGCAAAATCAGAAAATTAAGTGTGATTATCCCAAGAGATGTCTTATCAGTAATTCATGATGCATTATTCCATGAGAAACTTCGTGTCAATTTTATACGATTTTTTCCTATGAGAATGAAACTATCTGAAGGATTCAAACTCTAATTGTCAGATTTTGCCAGAGCATTTTTCATATTTCAAAAAAGGCTGTCAAGAGCTTCTTGTAACATCTATATTCTATAGCTTTTACAATTGTGTCATTTTGGTTGAAGATTTTTAGCAGTACAGACATGTCTTGTGGAGAATGTAAATGTGCCAGGAAAAATGAAGTCATTTATGATTACGTGGTTAATGAAACACTTATATGTACATATTCAGGTATTATTAACTGCATTTTTCCAATTTCTCTTATTGCATTTATTATTTTTCTCAACTACATGGACTTTATATTTAAGTTCTATGCAAATAATTATAATATATAAGAAGTACAAGTGGTAATTCCAATATTTTCCTTAACTTGTTTCTGGAACATAACAGGACTCTTAAAGTCAGAACTCTAGTTGTTAAAGTACCAGGGGCTGATCCAGGGGAGGGGTGCAGGGTTTGTG